ATTAATATTTGACTCATGTTAATGCCTTTGTTATACTAAAGACTACTTTTAATGAGATTGAAACAAATTAAGGGACAGATGAAGACATTGCTACCTTTTAGAGAGACTCAGTGAAATGTTCTGTGATTAAATCATATGATTTCTGGGGTTTTCTTCAAAGTAATCTGTGAATGAGGGAAATAGGTGAGAGAGACAGGCTATGAACCAATATTTGAAGCTAGGTGATAGGTGCATGTAGGTTCTTTATACTATTCTCTATCTCTTATTGTATGTTGAAAATTTTCCACTTTAAAACTTTTTAAAGTAGGTGGATTAGAAATAATTTTTAAAAAGTGGATGGACTGGGGCGCCTGGGTGGCCTAGTCAGTTAAGCGTCTGACTTCGGCTCAGGTCATGATCTCACGGTTTGCGTGTTCGAGCCCCGCATCGGGTTCTGTGCTGGCAGCTCAGAGCCTGGAGCCTGTTTCAGATTCTGTGTCTCCCTCTCTCTCTGCCCCTTCCTCACTCATGCTCTGTCTCTGTCTCAAAAATAAATAAACTATACAAAAAAAAAAAAGTGGATGGACTGCTCTCCGTCCAATCTGAGTCCCCCCCCCTAAGAACTGCCTTTGGCTGAATAGAATTGTCTTGCCCAAGGTAGTGCCCTCTCCCACACCTTTGCCTTGGTAACTTGTATCCCATGTTTAGTTGATGGTAGAAAGAACATAGAGGCTTGACTCCTTTGCTTCACTTTGAGATAACTCTAATGGACCATTTCTGTTGCATAGACCTCCATGGGATTGACTGAGGCCTTTATTACAATGAAATTACAGTTAAGCTTCTCCCTTTTCCAGTCCTGTTTCCTTGTTCCATCCTAGATATAGACCCATTGTTTGTGGTTTCAGTGGCGGGCTGGTAAAGGTTTAACAGGTGGCTCTCTGGGTACCAAGGTAGTGTTTGCCAATTTCCATGGTGTAAATACTTTCTTTTTTTTAATTTTTAAAATGTTTTATTTATTTTTGAGAGAGAGAGAGAGACAGTGTGAGCAAGGGAGGGTCACAGAGAGAGGGAGACACAGAGTCTGAAGACAGTCTCCAGGCTCTGAGCTAGCTGCCAGCACAGAGCCGGACGCAGGACTTGAACCCACGAACTGTGAGCCAAAGCCTGACGTTCAATGGACTGAGCCACCCAGGCACCCCTCCATGGTGTAAATACTTTCAGCATGGCCAATTTCAAGCCACCAAGATGATGTCACAGAAGGTGGAGGTGGGAACAGATGGGCACAACTGTGTCTTGTGACACAGTTCAAGCCAACGCTACCACTCTTGCCAAATTTCTTTAATGAAATTCTTAAATGCAAATCTCTATCTGAGTCTCTTTTTAGGGTAGCCAAACTAAGACAAAACCATCAATTATTTTTATATTGTCAATTTTGGTGATTTGTCTACTAAAGAAATTAACATTTCATAGGCAGAATGAAATGACATTGGTCACCTCAAATGTTTCAGTGAAACACACACACACACACCTCTCCCACATTACTGTTAGACAGTGTCCCATAATAATTGCTTAGAAACATTTAAAATCCAGATGCCTTTTAATATCTTATAATTACACAGTTACATAGGGTGTTCTGAGAAAACAGACTTCAAATAAATTGTTTATACTGAGACTAGGAAAAATGGCCAAGAAATCACCAGATAAATTCAAAATATAATTGTTATTATTGCCATAAATCAAAGTACATATTTAAGAGAGTTAAGTTTCCTTATCAAACATTTTAAGTCAGACTAAGCCATTTAAAAATTTTTCTATCTCTGTAGAAAATACAGAGGAACATTGAATGTTTGAAGAACTGTTAAGACTTTCACCCTATTCAAGAGCTGTTGTTGGAATAAATAAATAACCAGAGGCAGATTATTCTTAATATCCAATTTTGTAGAAAGAGAAGGTACCTGGAAAATGGGAACAAAATGTCCCATTGAGGAAAAAAGGTTGGAATAATTCACTTTACTTTGGTAGTATAAGCACCCTTAATTATCAACAGACAATAAGGACAAAGTTTCTATTATGTTTAGTTAGAGACAACTGATCAGTCAAGACAAAAACTCCAACAATGGTTCTCAAATTATGGCATAGATTAGAATCCCCTGAGGAGACTAGTTAAAATGTAAATTCCTGGGTACCAACACCTATTCTGATTTGGTGTAAGTCTGACTTGGGGCTCAGGGAGCTGCATTTTAACAAGATTTCTAGTAAATTCTGAAGCCCATGATGTCTGTCAAACCAAAACATGCTGAAAGGCAATATAGCCAAACATCCACAATTCACTTTCATAATAAAATTAGGAATGTGTCTATACCATTTCCATTACACAAATGTATTTCCCTGACAAAATCAGTCTGCATCCTTTATCTTCTGTTTCACTAATGGCCATTTTTAGAACAGCTTCCATCTACATATCAACCAGCCAGATTCTCATCTTGTACCTTTATACTCTTGCTTGCTCTGTAAAGGAAGGGGAAAGTGTGTGCGTGCGTGTGTGTGTGTGTGTGTGTGTGTGTGTGTGTGCGCGCGCATTTGGGAAGGTTGGGGTGCATAACAAAGTTTTGTTAGAAAATTCTCTTTCTCAACAGAACTGGCCAAAAGGACATTTTTGGCTATGGTATAGTTACTGAGACTCAATAGTCTCTGTTGATTTGAAATTATGCTTTTATTAACCTAGAAAATATTTTCTTATAAAAATTAAAAATCCTCACCATCACCTTCTTAACTAACTTCATTCTATATGACATGTGTTCTTATATTACCGGCCCTATGGGATCTGGGCCCCTCCTAAAGTGCATTGCATTTGGATTAGTTGTTCTCATAAGTGTATTTAATGTAGACCCTCTGACGAAGATAGTTTTTTTTTCATAATCTTGCATTTGAGAATGTAAGAAATTGCCCTAAGATCCTGATAAAACAGGAGTAATGCCTCCCTTGCTCCCCAGGCCAGGTTGGTAAGTATTTTTCTATCATGAGTTAGACTCTGGATCTTCCATAAAAGTAATACCATTCACAAACACATCCCTCCACAAGCTTAAAACTCAAAGTGTGAGTGTGAAGATGTATATGAAGGTCATGGACATCCAGAATGGAAGGGGATGTTTACTGCTTGCTGTACTTCAGGTGAAGCCAAGATGTTCCTCCGCCCTCGTTGTCTCTTGCTCCTTCTATTAGACCGAAGATATTTAGGCATTTAGGACAATTAACTAGAATCAATTTCATTTCAATGCACATTTTCTTTCCTTTTTTAAAATTTTACTTATTTATTTTGAGAGAGAGAGAGAAGGCATGAGTAGGGGAGGAGCAGAGAGAGAGGAGAGAGTGAGAATCTCAAGAAGCCTCCACACCAGCAGTGAAGAGCCTGACTCGACTCGGGGCTCAAACTCATGAACCGCAAGGTCATGACCTGGGTCAAAGTCGGGTCTTAACTGACTGAGCCACCCAGGTGCCCCTAAGTGCACATTTTCAAGAGAGAAATGTCTTCCTTCTTTTGGGACATTAAAATACCACATATATTTTCTTTGCATAAGTAATGCTATGCCAATTCATTGGGAAGAGTTGGAATTTAGTTATCAATATTAGTCATGGGACGGGGCGACTGCATTTTCAGAACCACTCCCTCTCCTCTTCTGCTAACAGTGATCCTAACAAATGTTTATGAGAAACTTTATCATTGTGATCCACTTTTAAACTGATATACCTAGTAGGGGTTATACTTTCTCCATAAAAATCTTTCCACAAAGATCACCTTTATCCTTTAATAAGTTGTGAGCATCAGGGCATATTGCTGTATCCAACATTGGTGCTTCAGGCTGGGTTTCTATCTCAGTGCACAGCATGAAAGCTTGGGTCCATCTGTGTCACAAGTCAAACTTCTCTTGAAGTGATTTGTTTATACTATCATTTGATGGAGTGGAATGTTCTGTAACTCATTCAAACTATTACAGAAGCTTTGCTAAAAGGTCACCACTGCTCTTTGGAGTTTCCAAATCTGGGAGCCATCTGGGAGCTTGTTAAAGATAAGGTTTTCCACTGGCTTTTTCCATACCAACTAGATCCAATTAGCAAAAGGGTACTATTCCAGATAAGTTTGTTTTCACATTTGGAAAGAAAGAAAGAAGAAAGAAAGAAAGAAAGAAAGAAAGAAAGAAAGAAAGAAAGAAAGAAAGAGAAAGAAAGAAAGAAAGAAAGAAAGAAAGAAAGAAAGAAAGAAAGAAAGAAAGAAAGGAAGAAAGAAAGAAGGAAAGAAACACAGGCTTTTGGGCACCAGACCCACTGGATCAGGAATTCTGGGGCTAAGCTCAAGATCTGTATTTGAACACCCCCCCACCCCCCACAAAGGCTTCTGATGCACACTCAAGTCTGGGAACCGCTGAGCAGTGAGCTGTCTTATGCACAGATGGTTTGAAGGCCGTGAAGCACTTTGTCAACTTGCTGTCTAGAAAGCCTTTTGTAAAAGGTGATTCGGTGATTCGGGGACCTCTTTGTTGCTGGTTTTTTTCCAGTTAATATTCTATGTCTTACAAAAACAAATTTAAAACACAGTTCTTCCTTAAGATTTTGTGTTGAATCTATGCATCTTTTGTTTATAAAATTGACTGTATTTTACAATCACTTTTAAAAAATTAATTTCCCTTAAATACTTTAAGTGCACTCATGAATTTAATACATTTGACTTCTTCTTAAGCACTTTTCAAAACCTTCCAAGCACTTAAACCTTCCAAAGAATTAAAAAAAAAATGTATGTCAGAGAGAAAAATAGAGCACAAGTCGGGGAGAGGGGCAGAGGGAGAGAGAGAGAATCCCAAGCAGGCTCTGCAGGTGTGGAGCCCANGAAAGAAAGAAAAGAAAGAAAGAAAGAAAGGCAGATATAACAGAGACAGAGAGACAGAGACGGAGAGAGAACTCAGGTAAATTACAATTAGTTGCTCAATAGTGTATAAGGCTACTTTGCACCAGAACTGGAGTGCTTGTGCCAGCAGACAGTAAGAACTCTTTAATAGGTCTGAATGGGGGTGTCGGTCTTTTGAATAGAAGTTGCTTTTAAATGTTGTTTTTGAATCAATACATGCCAGTATAGTCTTGAGAGTCAACTCTAAAGGAAACTGAATCTCACCATTTACTCAAAATTTAATATGAAAATGACAACTCATTCCTTAAAGTAATAAAGGCTATGTTCGCAAGCTAAACATTCACTCCACATGGCACGGACAGCCTTCCAGTTGCTATAACATTACAGTTTTAGTCTAGGCCTAAAATTGGCTTGTGTTTGCTTTCTGCCCCCTTCCTTACGAAACAAAAGTCTTGAATTTTCCAAACCTCAAAAGCTCAGCTGTAAAACTGTAGGAGGCCAGCAAGAGGAAAAGGAAAGTTTCCTTCCAAGACGTCTTTAGTCGCTGCTGGCCGGTTCTGCTCTCTCCCTCCAAACATTAACTATGGCTTTTGACACTTGTCCTTGGAAAAAGTCCAAATGTGGCAAATGGTAGAAGCAATATTTCTTTACCCTCCTGCCTGGAACTCCCCATGATACGGAGGAGTTCTAGCTGGGGCATTCGTGGGTGACACAAGGCGGTCAGCTACTGTCCATCCCCTCTGCTCACTTCTGTAGATGAAATAAGTAAACACAGAGTGAGAATCTACTGAATTAAAAATCAAAACCCTCTCATTTGGTTGGAATGCCTGAAAGAGTCTGGACCAAAGAGGCTGCACAGTAGCAGCGAAAACACAGGCTCATTGCCACTAAAAATGTTCTAGGAAGTGTGTGTGTGTGTGTGTGTGTGCATGCGCGCACGCATGCGCGTGCATGTGAGTGTGCATGTATTTATAGCAGGATACTTGGATGAGGAGGAAAGTTAAAATATGGAACCATATTTCTGTCTCTGCAGGCTTTGGGTTGGAGACATTAAAAACACGACATTTCCTTCAGTTCAATTAAGCTGGTTCAGAAACCAAAATTGTCCTTAGAAAAGGGGAGAAATCCATTTATGTTCCTTTTGAGGCAGGGAGGGAGGTCTTTCTGGCAAAGTCTTTAGGTGCAGTTCAGGACCAGGAAACTTAATCATCCAGTTCAAAGCTTGTCTCGTCATAGAGTTCGGGGCGTGCCGATTTCTTGTGCCGGGAATACTTCAGTTGCAGGAGATCACCCATTTCATCCAGGTTTTCCAAAACCTGCAAAGAGATTGCCTTCCATCAGTTATTCTTTAAACTCCTAAATGGGGGCGCCTGGGTGGCTCAGTCGGTTAAGCGTCCAACTTTGGCTCAGGTCATGATCTTACGGTTTGTGGGTTCGAGCCCCGCGTCGGGCTCTGTGCTGACAGCCAGCTCAGAGCCCGGAGCCTGCTTCAGATTCTGTATGTCCCTCTCTCTCTGACCCTCCCTTGCTCACACTGTTTCTCTCTCTCTCTCTCTCAGAAACAAATAAAACATTAAAAAAAAAATATATATATATATATATATATATTTAAACTCCTAAATGGCTCTGCAATCCAGAGCCTCAGAGATACAATCTTCTTTTGCCATCTTCTTTGATTTTAAAGAAAAGGAGAAAGATCCAAATCATTGAGGCATGGTTTACAAGCCAGCCCTAGGAAATGTTAGATGCTAATTAATTTTATTTTATATTCTTTAATAGCCTATATTATGAATATTTGACTTATTTTTGGGGTGTGAGGGGAGGAATAAAAGCACCTGCTGCATGCTTACCCTTTTAGGCCTTATTTTAAAATTTAATTTATTACATATAACTTTGTGGAAGAAAAAGGTAAGGCTGCAGGTTACAACTGGGTTATGTCTTCATGACATAAATGGCCAAGAGCAAAATGGAACATTGTGGGAGCTGATTAGTGTCTTCTGTCTCCTAAATTTCCCTACCCCTAGCTTTTAAACACTCATCTCTGTGTTCCATGGAATCATCAAACTTAAAACCTCAAGGGACCGAGGACTCATCCGTTTCAGTTCTCTCCATTCAGGCAGGTAAACGTGTCCCCAATTTTCACGAGAAACAGCCAAGATCCAGGACAGACAAAAATCTGATATATCGCTAATCTTATGGTACTGGGGATATGCCCTTTTGACATTTTTAGGCCTTTCTTACCCTGTCTGTTGAGACAGACGATTTGAGGATCTAATGCTTTGAAAGAGGTGAAGATGTTTGTTAACACTGGAATGAATGACTACTGGAGCATATGGATTTTCCTCTTTGGGAAGTTTTTCAAACTGGCATCACATTAGATACCCACCAACATGTGAAGACTCGTTTATTTCTGGGTGGTAGCATTACGGGTGGTCAAAACGTTCTTTTTACTTCAATGTACTTTCTAAATTTTTCCAGCAAATCTAAGCACTAAGACAAAGTAACAAAAGTTGGATTTAAAAGGATATCAACTAGGATAGTGTCTGTTGCTCTTTGCTGAAGGTGGGGACAGAGTATGCAGGGAGGGGCATCTGCACGGCTGGGGGGCTATGAAAAACAATTCATGAAAGGTGTAGGAGAGCATAAGGTTTTCTAGTCATTAATTTCAATCTTTTTAACTTCCATTTTTGTGTCTGCTACAAAATATACGTAATATATTGGCAACACATATATAACTTATAAACGGATTTATGCTGAAGCCCACTGATCAGACTACCCAGAGCACACCTGTACTCAAACGAAGGTAGGTGTATTCCACTTGCTACAGCTGGGAGCCTGCATTTTAGAAGGACCATCTCAGGAAGAGGGAGTTGGGAAGGGCTCCTACCACATTTGGACCTGCACTCCAGATGACTCTATGGAAGCAGGGACCAGTTCTGGGTTGGATCCTGTCTTGAGCTGGAGAAGTTCAGTGATTGGCTATTTGCAGAATTCTTAGGTAGAGGGCGAGATGACTAAGGTGGGGTGATTGGTAAAGGAGCAGCAATCACTCATGTTAGAAGAACAAAATTCTGAGCCATTTTGTGTTTGTAGAGCGGCCTCATCTCGGTCTTGTTGCAAACATGGTCATGGAGGGGACTTGTCTAATATGTATTTTCTGTGTTATGTTCAGTTGCTACCTTAATGCCCTGGCTTTTCACGGGTCAGTTTTCACTTTCTCTTATGTGTATATTGAAGAATCTGCTCACGGTTTTTCATTGATGTAGGTGCCTGATTTCCAAAGTTTAGAGGCATCTGTCTAGATGATGTCTCAGTGCCCCTTCCAAACCAGGTAGTCCAAAGCAATTAAGAACTTGCAAAGAGATTCACATGGTCTGATGTCTACAGAGTTGGGTATTCATGAATGCCTCAATGCTGTTGGGATCACAAAAAACACAAATCCACCCCTTCTGTCCATCCCCTCTGGTCATCTCTGGGAGCTTGCTCCCTGGCCATCTCCTTTCCTCTCCTACGTCTAGTGCCGCTCTTTTTACTCTTTTCCTCCCATAATGTGTAAACGTGCTCAAGTCTTCCCCCATTTTCAAGCGCTTTTTCTAAACCTATTTTTCTTGCTTTTACTGTCCAACTTCTTGAAATATTTGCCTACTTTTTATTTTTAAAAGAAATAATTTGTAAAGTTAATTACTGGAAATACTCATTTTAGAGAACCTGGACAGTATGGAAAGATATACAGAACAACAACAAAGTTCACCCATCATCTCAACACCTCAAATTAGCTCGGTTACTTGCGTGTCATGCAAAAAGTTATTATTATGTTTGTACTCTGTAGTATACACTGGTTTAAGTCCTGAGAATGTAATGGTGTAGCAGAAAGACATGGAGACTGTGTGTGTGTGTGTGTGTGTGTGTGTAATTTATTATTTGATAAATAATAAATCAAAGTATTCACTTTTTTATTTGTTGTATTCTTAATTCTGTTCCCTACATTCTTCTAAACCGGTCTGCTTGGAGGAACATCGAGCTCCTGCTAATTGCTAATCCAATAGCTTCCCATCTCTTACCCCACTTAAACTTACTGTAGTTTCTTGGGGACACTTTGATCTTGCCCCTCCCTGAAACTTTTTCCTTCCTACTGTGTTTAACACTACACTAGTTCATGTCTTTTCAGGCTGCTCTAGCCCCACTGAAGCCTTGTTCCTCGTCTGTGGTTTCTGTGTCCACCCTGGGAGATAGGCACTCTGCTGGAGCCTGTCCTTGGCCTGTTCATTAGCATTTGGACAATTATATTCTCTACCTTTGGCTTTAATGATCCTTCAGTTGCCCAAACTACAGGAGCTGCAGCATTGCATACTCTCCCAAGCTTTAGAATCTTATTTTCTTTTCTACAGATGGCCCGTAGACATACAATCCCAACCTGTCTAAAACAGAACTTGTTTTGTTCCTCCAGTCCCATTGATGATTTGCTCTTCCTTTTTGTATACCCTACCTCATGTAAATGCTTTAGCTTTATCATCCTTCCATTCACCAGGTCTGGAGACCTTGAATTAACTTTGATTCCCTCTTCCTAAATGTGCCCTGCGTACGATCATTTGCCAAGTCTTGGTAAATGCATTTATAATTTACTTTTATTAAAAGAGGCCTAGCTCAGGGGCACCTGGGTGGCTCAGTCAGTTAAGCGTCTGACTTTGGCTTAGGTCATGATCTCATGATTCATGAGTTCAAGACCTGCCTTGGGCTCTGTGCTGACAGCTCAGAGCCTCGAGCCTGCTTCGGATTTTGTGTCTCCCTCTTTCTCTGCCCCTCCCCTGCTTGTGCTTGTCTCTCACTCTCTCTCTCTCAAAAATAAATGAACATCAAAAAAATTTTTTAAAAAAGGCCTAGCTCCAAAGTCATGTCGCCTGTGATATACATATAATATTCATATCTATATCCATATCCTTATATATTATGAGTTATTATATGTGTATGTACATTACACATATACACATAATTCATTCCCACCTTTGCATATAATAACTTATTCATATGTAATGAATGAATTCATATAATCTCATATATAATTTACATCTTCATGCTTCCACAGTTGTCTATATTTCTTTTCCAAGATGAATTATTTGGTCCAGTATTATCACTAGTTTCTTATTTATTAGTACCACTTCTTAGAGTTTTTGCCCCAGGGTTTTGCACACAGTAGACACTCATTGTGTTTGCCAAATTGCACTGACATTATGAGACAGTTCCATCAACCCCACACTTTTGAGATGGCTTAGTTTTCTGATATCACATATTCACATAAAGATCAAAACCAAAGGACAATGAAATGTGGTGTTTAAATCATTTACACCTCAGGTAGGTCTGGATGATATGATAGGTCTGTCTTTGTTATTGCTTTTCCAAAATGTTGTTTCATTGGATCATATTTTATTATGATGGGTTTGATGGCTATGAAAACTGTCTGGTTGCAGGCAGTTAATGCTGAAATAACACGTCAGGTTAGCTTTTGCATCTAAGGACAAGTAAATAGCACAATGTGTGTCTACTCAGTCTTTTTTATGAAGCCAAAACACTGACCTGAGTCAAGTCTTCACTAAACTCATTTTCTTTTCTATCCTCTGAGTTGATCACATTGTTGGGCATTACTGACATACCCTTACTTTTTTGCAGTGAACTTACAAGTGCTGTTTTTCTCCACTGCCAAGACAAACCCAGGGAAACTCAAGCTAGCTCAGTAAAAGAGCATGCTCAGATTGCAGGCACCAGTGCTGGAGATTCTGCTGGCCTGTGTGTACTCACCGTGTCTAGCATCTCCCGGGTATGTGCTGCTGAAACACAAAACCGAGCCCGAGCTTCTGCAAGGGGAGTAGCTGGAAATCCAACGACCACCACCCCGATTTTTCTATTTAATAGATGTCTTGCAAAAGCCCTATGGGAAAGGTAAAAGAGGATGTTAACTGAGAGATGACAAAATTACATGGCAGGAAAAGGAATATGGCTAGTTGACATTTCTTATTTTATAACAATAAGTAGAAATGATTCAAGTTACTAAGCTTCTGTCACATACAATTGACAAGGAAATGGGGCAGTTCTTCGATGGTGCCCATAGCCAAGTGTGTATATTATGGAGTCTGGCACACTCATTAGACTATTGTGAGTACTGAGTCTTCGACGTCATGCAGAAAATTTGATGTATGTAACCTTGAGTTAACAAATTGGCATCCTTTGTCTAAAGGGTTTCTAGGAATAAAAACCCAACAGCTAACACAATGCAACTGCAAAAAGAAAGAACATATATGAAGTGCAAACTTGTATGTTTTTAAAAACTTAATACCAGTAATAGACTACGGAAATTTCAGGAAGCCTATACTTAGTGATGATAATTTGAGGACTAGGATCTGAGGGTCTGCAGGAGTCAATCCTGAGCTGTATTCTCATTTCAGAGCCAAAGATATTTTTTCCCCCATTAAACCAGAGATGGAAAGTAGCAAGGATCTCCTCATTTTTTATTGTGTGAATGAAAACAGCCAGGTATGTTCAGGGATAATAAATCCACTGACTGGGTTCAAGGGAAAATTGGGAAGGAGACAGGGAAAGGAATGTGCACACACAGAGGCTGGCCAGTAGATGCAGCCTGTAGGATATAAGTCATATAACTGCAAAGCTTTTCAACACAGAGTAAAACTTTTCTAAGCTATGATTCCTTTCCCTTATCTGCTTCTAGCCCCCTTCTTTTACAGAGCTAATTTCAGTGACAATTCTAGCATATCAAGCTCTCAAAGTCTAATTTTTTTGTGCTAAGAGCCAACATCAGACAAAAAGGCATGTGCCCCCAAGTGAATCTTTCCCCACTTTGTGCTCTGTTGCTCTCTCCGGGAAACCTTAATTACTAAATGTCTCTGCCCACAAGCGAGGTAAATGCCTCGGATCTGTTCTTAGCATTGAGAGGATTCTGGTGTCCTGTTTTAGGCCAGAAGCTGACAGCACCATGGAAACCTTCCAGTCATAACTCAGGAAGGGTTCTTGAACCAGATGCGGAGAAAAAGAATGTTCATTTATTCATTACTTTTGTCATGAAGCTATCTGCCTTTTTGGTTGTCTCATGCAGAATGCATGTTATCACATGAAGGGATGGAGATTGCAGGATCTACTGAGCACACAGCCTCTCTGGTCCTGTGGCCTAGACAAGGCAAGATTCGCCTTTGATTTGGACTGGAAAGATTAACAAGGAGATGAAGCTTTCTGAGAAAGTTTGAAGACAGAGGCTGTTCTTTCTCTTTCTTGTTCACCCTATGGAAGGCTGCCCATGGAACTGCACAGGATGAGAGCTCATAATTATCTGAGAAACAAGGCAAGGGCTTTTATTGCTAGAATACAAACCACCTGACCCATGATCTCAGGCTACTTTTCGGGACTCCCAAAAGACCATTTTCACTGTCTGCATGTTTCTCTTTGTACCAGAGGAAGCAAGTTTTGCCAAAGAACGCAGAGCAAAATATATGACTGCTGATTCATTAAGCTAATCTGAGGCCTCCCTGGAGCATTTTCAGGCTTAAAATTTACACTACTAAACCTGGTCTCCTCCAGTTAATGTGTCTGATTCCCCTGAACATTTTATATAATGAGCCTCTGGATTTGTTCTCCCCAAAGCAAATTAAAGCCAGTGTGGCTGCAAGAAATCAAACTATGTGGATAATAATAATAATAATAACAATAATAATAATAATAAAATATTAGCACTACGCTATGTACAGCATCACCACCTCTTGTATCCCACCATCCTCCAAGTGTACCACAGGGCCCATGGAAGGAAAATGTAAACTCTGTACCAAATAATAAATACAGTGCATTCTTGATTATCTGAGTGAATGTTTCAAGGATGAAATCACACTATACTGAACGTCATAGAAGATTCCGGTGGTAAGAGTTGCAACAAAACTTTGCCCAAAAGGGTATGTGGCTAGAGACTTTATTTTCATTCTTCAGTAGGTGGAAATGTGAAGAAATCACAATTCTTTAATAAATTCAAAGGGTTTAAAATGAGCAAACGAAAGATCAAGTGCTCATGCACTGGCTTTTACAATTGACTCCTTGTCTCAAAAGCTTTTCTATGTATAAACTTTCCATTGAAGAAATATTTGAGAAGGAAACAAGGCCAGGCAGCAGGGAAGCTCTTTCCAGAAACTCCTGCCAACAATAGATGATATTACCTTTTGTAACTGACCTATTCTAAGTTTCCTTAGACACTCTAAGCAATTAGATTTTTTTCCACTGCAGTGATTGATGCCTTTTGATTCACCAAAGATGACATTAAAGAGAGTTAAACTTATACTTTGTGTTGCTTTAATGAGATGTGCAGTTTTTCTTCTGTGAACTAAAGCTTCAGAGGCTGTGCTATGCACTGAAAAGAGCTCTGGTTTAGATGCGAATGGAACCGGCTTTGAATTCTGGTCTCTACTATCTACAATCTGAGTAACTCTTAGAAAGCAGTTTAACTTTTGTGGGTCTCACTGTCCTCATTTGCAAACTAGGACTAAGCATCCCACTGTTGGTGTTTGATTGCTGATGTAAGAGTCTGTCTGACTTAGCATAGATCAGCATTCAGTCACATCATCTCCATAAATACCATCTGAAACTGGAAGGCATTAGATAGGCAGATCATCCAATGTCCAACATAGTGTGTTTGATATGGACAATAGCAGGATACCTATCTACTATTTTCCTGGAAGTTCTATTTTTATTAATGCAACCAAAAATCACAATGATTATTTTGGAGAGCCATGCAGCCATGGTTTCATTTTTGCACTCAGTTAAAACTAATAATAATAACTATTGTAGTAGTAGAAGTAGCAGTAGTAATAACTACCACTGATTAAATTCTTATAGTAGACCAAGTACTGTATTAAATGCTTTATGTACATTAACAGTTAATACTACTACTAATAACAGCTCTCACCTAGACCATCGTGCTCATGGCCAGACACCCAAATAGTAGCTCCTGTATAAGAAACAACATGCTTTATGCTTATAGACCTCATCTTGCTTAATCTTCACAATGACCCTATGAAATAGGTACTATCACATCTCATTTTAAAAATGAGAAAACTGGGGCTTCAGAAGTTTGCACAACTTGTCCAAGATCCCCTGGTAGGAAGGGGAAGAGTCAAATCCTTTCTCATTCCAAACTTCTCAATACACCAAAGAGCATACTTTTACACCCTGTTTGTATTTTTCATATTAGCTGTTGTCCAGTTATAAAGGACATAAAGCTGTTGTCTGACATATAAAGGAGCAGAAGTACTCTCTCTTTGTTACTGCAAAGTTGAATTCTTGAATTTAAATGCATTTGTTCTTACTCTTCATGGACTCTTCTCATTACATGGATTCATTTTTCCAGCATGTTGAGATTCTATTTCCAACCCCCACCGTCAAAGTCAGAACTATCAGGCACACTCTCACTGTCACCCTCCTGTGTTGTGCACTTTAGGCTCTCAAAAATAAAGCACATTTATTTTTGGTGTCTTCATTTGAGCTAATGATAAAATATTAGATAGACATGGGCTAAGTGTGGAACTCTGATTAAATGTAGGTTTTCTTTTGTGCCTTCTGAAATCAGATGGTAAAGGGCTTGGGATTATCTGCTACTTTGAATCACAGTTATACCTCCTCCCTACCATAAGAACAGAGCAGTATCTCGTGTGACATTTCTGTAGCACACTGTCTTCTCGACCACTGCATTCAGCGTTAGCCTGACCCAGATCTGTGAACAAAGGACCTGCTGATGGTAATGGTATGGCACACTGAAGAACTCATCTGTGTGTTTTGTTATTTTGCTGTGGTGAAATGATACAAAAGCGTATGCTGAAGAATCAATATCTTGGAAACTAATAATTCATTCCTACCCACCATGAGTTCTGAACTGATAGCTCCAGAACCTCTTATCTATACTTAAAATACTCTGCCAATCTATTCAGACTATTAGAGAGTCAAACAGAAATTTCCAATAGCGTTATGTTGCAGGAGAGTCAGGACCAGTACAATCTCTTAAATATATGTTGACTATTACTTTCCATCGTGCACCCAAATAAACAGTTTACATTTAGAAATGATTTTAATTAACTTCCTTTTAATAACAGAGGTGGTATGTGGCAGATTGGAGAATGGCTCATGTATAAAATTGTCTATGCCATATTGAGAATTTTTTTTTTCTCTTTAGGCAGTTGTTATCATGCTCAATTTCAGAGTTGTAATCAATGGGAAACAACTTTGCACAGGTTTATAGGGGAGGCATTAAAATTTTTTATTAAGAGCGGGGTGCCTGGGTGGCTTAGTCGGTAAAGCGTCCGACTTTCACTTAGGTCATGATCTCGTGGTTCGTGGGTTCGAGCCCCACATCAGGCTCTGTGCTGACTGCCAGCTCAGAGCCTGGAGACTATTTCGGAGTCTGTGTCTCCCTCTCTCTCTGAGCCTCCCCTGCTCACGCTGTCTCTCTCTCTCTCCTAGAAATAAATAAAAATATTTTTTTAAAAATTTGTATTAAGAGCATGAACCTAAGTTTGGGTTTGCCTCTTGGTTGTCTTTTGATTTTATTACTGTTCAACTTGTAGGACTTTGGGCAAACTATTTAATTGTTCTCAGCCTCAGTTCCCCCACACTTGAAATAAGGCTGCCTTCTTCTGAGGATGGTGATGAAAAGTCAGGGGAGAAAGCACAGAGCCTGGTAATGTTGTTTTCACATGCTGGGAGAGATGGTCTCCAGAGGTTCTTCTTGAAAAAGATCATGGGGCAGAAGGAAGCACAGGTTCATCTTTAATTTACAGTTGAGACTAGGGGGTGACACTCAAACTCACAGAGCTCGAAAGTGGTGAGCCTTAGCACTTGATTTCCTTTTTTGTTTTCTTTTTGATTTGTTTTTTACTTGAGAGAAAGAGAGTGAGAGAGAGAGAGAGAGAGAGAGTCCTGAGCAGGATCCATGCTCAGCACAGAGCCTGATGTGGGGCTCATTCACATGACCCTGGGATCACCACCTGAGCTGAAATCAAGTTTTGGATGCTCAACCAACTGAACCATCCAGGTGCCCTTTGAATCCCTTCTTAGAAGACCTGTGAAAAGACCCTACTGGGACAGGTGGCTTCCAAGAAGCTATACAAATGAATTTTGAACTCGGCACCCCATTCAAAGAGCATAAGGGATGACAGTGCTGAAGGAGCCTCAGAGTCAGAAACGCTGTCTTAGTCAGATCACCCTGGGACTTCAGTGTTATTCTGAGAGTCCACTGAATACTCACGCTACTTTAGCAGGCATGTAAAGGAGCAGGGGAACAACGGGAGATTCCTCATTGCCATAGATAATGAATCCCATTTCGTTCAGTCTCTGTCTGAAGTATCTTGTGTTTTTTGCAAGTTGCCGTACTCTCTGCAATCCTGAAAGGAGACAGGCATGAAATCCATAAATCCCACCAAGAAGAGAGAAGCAAAGGTCAGATTGACTTGGCAAGCATTCCTAAGTCTTTCTGCAAGCCTGCATTGTCAGCTGGGAGGAGGTCAAAATTGGGTGGGTAAATATCTCTTGATGAGCAAGTGTGGGCAGTGATGCCTGAGAACTGCCCTGAGTCTGGAAGACAGGATCCAATGGGGGGATGGTGCTGTTAGGTACTGCTAGCAACTAAAGGCTGGCTAGCTTGTGGGGTGATGAGGGGACAAAGAGAGTGTCTAGCAAGAAGGAAGGAGATGAACTATCATTTATTAAGTACCTACTGTGTATGGACTCTGTTTTAAGTGTGTTAGAGACATTAGCTCAGGGAAAAGGAGTGTGACAAGAAATCACACACACACACACACACACACACACACACACACACACACACCAGTTGTGGTCTCATCTAAGTCTCCAATCAAAGAGCACTTCACCTATCCTGAACTTGAAGGGGTAGCACATCCCTGAGCAAAGATAGGTCCGGCTGAGACCAGAACTGTTTTGTGAGGCATTTGGTAGTGGTAGAGTAATAGAGGGAAGGAAGTAGAGGGAAGCGAAGAAGGGGACCTCTGTTTTCCCAAGCACAAAAAATGACACTGTGGGCTCCAAATTGAAGTCAAGGAAGGTATGTGTGTCCATTTCTAGGTTTTTAGTGCTTCAGCTCAGAAGCTTAGCTTCTGTCCTCCATGTGTGTCCCAGTGAGGATATCACACATATGAGAGGACAAAAGGAATTAAAGAGTGGAAAGAATTCTGAAGACACCTGTCTACTCTATGAAGCAAATGAGAAAAACAGCCAAAACCAGAGTATGTGTGCTCAATACAGAAGACTGAACAGAACTGGATGTTTAAGTCCTCTGGAAATCACTCCAATGTTTGCATCTGATGCAAGGTGGCTGTTGAGCAGGAACAGCTGCTATAGCCCACCTTCATTATGATTGGTCAGGTGTCTATTCAAACTGATCAGAGCTCTTGTTCTATTAGTTGTTCACTATTCTGAACATTACTCCTGGGTATCTTAAACTCTCCAGATGGAAAATGGGTTAAGATGTCACTAAACATGTCAATCATGGTTCTCTAGTTCCTTCTTGGAGAAATGGCCCCAGATTGTGCTTTGACAAAGGGTTGAACAGTAGGCATTTCCTGCTTAGCATCCTTCTTCCATGGGACCATGATGTTCAGGTAGAGTTGGCCCTGACTTTTCTCTTTACTACAAGGGTAGCATGTGATCAAGGACTGGCCAATTGGAATAGTCCATCCCCCTGATTATTGGTTCAACAATGGAATACAACCTGAGCTTATTATCAGTCTTTCAGATATGCTGAAGAAGAGTGTAAGAATGGGGTCATCCTCAAGCTACATGTTTGTCATCATATGGAGGAACTAGGGAAGAGCTTATAGTGTAGTGGGAAGACTGATATTCCATCTAAAAATGATGTAAAATTGCAAACTTAATGAGTACTGTAAAGAATGCTATCTGGTGTTATGAGAATCCATATTAGAGAGATTGGACCAAATCTGAGAAAGCCAATAAATGATAAGTGAGCTGAGTTCAGAAAGGTAGATAAATGTTAACAGGCAAAAAATCATAGGAGAGCACTTCAGGTACAGGAAACACGTACAATGGTCTAGTGGTTTGTAGAAGAAAAGAGTGGTTGAGAACCAGGTAAGATGTAGTTAAATGTGGGGCAAGATAAGGCTGGAGAGATGGGTAGATTGAGAAAAAAGGAGGATAGGGATTGAAGAATACAACATTTCATGGTTGGGAAGAGAATGAACTTAAAAGGGTGACAGAGCAATCAGGGAGAGAAAAGACAAATCAGGAGACAAATTTGTGTTCACTGAATTTTTTTAAACATGGCAGTCAGTGATAACCTTTACTTTGAGGCCCCTGGTTGGGATTTTGGTTTTAAAGAAATAGGTAGCTGCAAGTATGGTTTACTTTAATTTATATATATATATATACTTTTATTTTCCCATCTACCTTCTTCAGAAAGAAAAAGCTAAGCCCTCCACCCCCACATTCCAGATTTGCACTATGAATACAAGTAAGGGATCAGGAGAGGTATAGAATTATTTGTATAAATTTTACTGCATAGACAAAGCCTCCTTGGTGCTTAAAAATGAATTGCTTTGTAACATGCTGAACTGTTTCTTGGAAACTTGCACCTGTACAGAAAGCAACCTATTTGAAGGACAGAACTAGAAATGAGGAGGAGAATATTTGTCTTTACTTAAACAAATTCATCTATACATCAAGACTACGTGTTGAGGGAGGTGAGAGCATAAGAAGTAGGGGGAGGTTGTGGAAGAAGAATGAAAAGAAAAAGAGGGGCTGGAGTAAGACTTGTTTTAAAGAAGATGATTCAAATGAAGGCACATACATACATCCCAGCCATCAAAATGTATTCCATATGGCCTGTCGCCTTGTATGTTTAGCTCTTTTGTTGACTGTTAGCTGCACAATGAATAGATGACTTCATCAGGCTGGGTCTGATGATTCCTAAACGATCCCCCTCAAAGACCAGAAGGATTTCCTGGCCTGGAAGCGCATGAATGACTTAAATTGCTTTTCCCAATGGCATTATCTTTGCACTTGCCCATAATGACTCATCTATCATTGGGCTGCCCAGCTACTTAATTGGCCCCGTCTGTCCCGTTTGCCTTGATTAACCCAAGTAACTGGATCATCAGCTAATGTCATCACTTTACTGCTTCTAGATCCTTTGGAGAGTTGACCGAACAGATCAGAATATTGATCCCAGGGGTAGCTGACTCTTAAGAATTCAGTGTTTTCTTCTTGCTCTGTCTTTTCTATCTTTGAACCATTTAGCACAGCATGGCTAACAAGCCATTATGATACACTTCATGGTCACCATGTTTTCTCATATAGATCACTATTAATGCCTTTGAGGTCCTATGCATTGGCCATGACACAGCTCCTTTCAATTACTCTATTGCTCACTCTTTAAAATTGGAAATATTCTACTTTTATAGGGCCTGGGGGCAGAAAGTAATTTGTATATGTAAAATGTTACTCATCTAGACAGGATGTGGGTGATTTTATTAATTATGCTCTGCTTTGAGATCCTTGCTTGAGGAGTGCTTTGTAAAAGAAGGAGGAAATTTTTTTAAAAAATTTTTATATAGCTTATTTATTTTTGAGACAGAGAGAGACAGAGCATGAGCAGGGGAGGGGCAGAGAGAGAGGGAGACACAGAATCTGAAACAGGCTCTAGGCTCTGAGCTGCCAGCACAGAACCTGATGTGGGGCTCAAACCCATGAACTGTGAGATTATGACCTGAGCAGAAGTTGGACGCTTAACTGACTGAGCCACCCAGGTGACCCAGAGAAGGAGGAAATTTTAGCACTTGTCTTTTTGTACAGAGATGGCCATGCCAGGATGGTGTGGCGTTTGGGCATTGCAGCCACATTCCCTTCCTAACACTCTATGTCTCTAATTCCATAATTTCTGGTTCTTCTTTCACACATCACATAGAAGACAGGGAAAGTCTCTGCTCAGATAAATATGTAAATGAGCTGATCTTTTATGTAGGGTTCTGGGGAGTTTAAAAGAGTGTTTATTTTGCTATATTCTGGGTTCTCTGAAAAAGGAATAGGCTTTGGAGTTAAATGGACTAAAAAAACCAAACTTCACCTGGACAACTTAAGGCCTTAAGAACCTCAGTTTTACCTGTAAAATACAGATAAATAAACTTATCACACAGAAACAGTGGTGGAAATAAAGATTTTAATGCAGAAATATGCTTACTACTGTGCCTGGCATGCAGTAGGTATTTGAAAGGTTAATTACCTTTTTCCATAAGGAACTAGTTCCCAATAACCTCAATGGCACCTCAGAATCATCTGGACAGGTTGGCAAAAATTGCATGCCCAGACTGCACTCCAGACCAATTAAATAAGTATCTACGGAGATGGCTGAGCATGAATTTTGTGTTTTGACAAGGTATAGCCACAGAGACTCAGATGTCTCAGAAATAGCCACCATTACCAGTACAAGCCCAAAGCCATGCGTTTCTGTATTAATAGCCTGATTTGTTCCTCAGCTATGTCTTATTTCTGAGTTGGATGTGGTAAATAAAAGATGGGCACATGTCGTGGCCTCTTGTTTGGCAGGATTACATCACAGCAGTTAATCAGTGTTTGGGTGCTTGTATAGTACGTTTTGTGGGGGTGACCTGCTCCCCTGACAGCTATCTGCTCCAAAGTACTCATTCGGCTTGAGATCAACCCAACTGTCCCCCTCACCCCTCTCATGAGGCTGCATAAAATACGGATGAACTCATCCAGGCGGCTGACCTGTACATTGCCGTTCTACCAATTCAGATATCTAGTTCCGCCAACTTGAAAGATGGGCTAGGTTAACGGAGGCCACAAATACTTTAACCTTCTCTCCAGTGCTGTTAAAACAAAAACAGCTGGGGTAGGGGAAGGAAAACAAATAAAACACAAAGCATCCCACTACAAAGCTTTGCAGTCCCCTAATAAAAACAATCGTCTGTGGTGTTTCCAAAAATATGTTTGGGACAAGTCAATCTCCAGAGGGCCAGAAGGCATCAGACAGTGAAGACTCCCTGAATGACCCATCAAAAGCTAAAGAAGGAAAATTTGTTGTCTGCTGAACCACTGGCATGCAAGAGAGAGAGTGAGAGAGAGAGAGAGAGAGAGGCCTTTCCCTCTGAAAGACTAAGTGGAAGAGGCCGATTTTACAAGCTTGTGAGCCAGCACCGGTGCCACTCTCGATTTTCTGCAGATTTTGCAAGGTCCCTGGCTACCAGATGAAACATGAATATGCCCAGATGCCACATAGTGACTTATTTTGTTATTTCTCAGGTTTAAAAAAATGCACATAAAGGAATAGATGTTGCTCTCCCTCCTTATTTAGCACACCACCATGACTGTCAGAATACAGTCAATGGACTGTCTA